AGGAGGCCCCAAGAGGCCCCAAGATGGCCCCAAGAGGCCCCCCCCAGGAGGCCCCCAATAGACCCCCAAGCGACCCCCAAGAGGCCCCACGAGACCTCCCAGAGGCACCCAAGATGCTCCAAGAGGCCTCGGCGAGAATGCCAAATCATTGATTGTACGAAGGTTTTAGCCACATGTTGGCTTCTTGGGGGGGGCACTGATTAAGATGACTCCAGGAGCGCCTGGGAGAGCCCCAAATGACCTCCAAGGTGGCTCAAGATATCCCAAGATGTCTCATAATGGCTTCCTCTGTGTGCTGCCCACTTCCCTGATCGAAGCAATTCCTCTGGGCATCGTTTCTGGATGGGCTGGTGGGGATTCGCGAAGCGTCAACACTTCCTGATTAAATGTGAAGGGTTCTCTGGCTGGAGCGGGGGTCTGGATTAAATTGCGAGGAAGTCTTGACTCACTTGCGAAGAAATCTTAAGCGGGAGCGCCCTTCCTGAGTAACATGTGAGGAAGTCTCAGATGGGAGCGGGGGTCCTGACTAAATTGCGAGGAAGTCACCGGCGGGAACACTGATCCTGAGTAAACTGTGAGCAAGTCTCAGGAGCGGGGGTCCTGAGTAAATTAGGAGGAGGTCTCAGGCGGGAGCCGTTGTTGTTGTTGTAATCAGGGGGGCCACGGGCCCAGTTTGATCACCAGGACCTTCCCTGTCGACAAACAGGGTGCGAGCGTCGATGGGCACACTTTGATTCAGAAATAACAGTATGCACCGCTGAGTGGGGATCAACAATAGTTATTCGCCAGAAATTAGAATTCAACAACAACAGCAACACCCTATACACATATTATAATATGTCATATTATATTGTATTATATTATAGTACACCAAATTATATCATATACTATGTTATTATAGTATATTGTATCATTTTCTACCATACCATATCAAATCATATTACAACACATTAAATTATATTATAACGAATTCCAGTGTATTGTACTAGGTTAATGTACAACATGTTATAGCATACTAGGATATAATATACCATATCGTATGATATTATATCATAGTATCTCATATAATATTATACTATATCATATGACATTACGTTATATTATATTATACTATATTACACTGTACTATATTATATCATAGTATATTAGTTTATATTGCATCATATTATATCATAATATAGTTTACTATATTATATTACATTCTATTCTATTATATTATAGTATATTATATCATATTATAGTATATTATATTCTATTATAGTGTATTACATTACATTACATTACATTCCATTACATTACATTACATTACATTACATTACATTATATCTTAATATATCATATTACATTATAATATATTACCATATATTGTATTACGCCGATACTATATTATACATATTAGTGTATAGTATTTTATATAACAGTATATCCTATTATACTATATTGCAATATATTATACATATTATAGTACATCATACTTTAGTCTATCGTATTATATTATTCCCAACCATCCTGTGGTGTTGGGTCCTCGTTTTGAAGAGACAGTGCCCCGCGTTCCCACCTCCCGCTGCCCCCTCCCCCTCCCTCTCCTCCCTCCTCCTCCCTCTCCTCCCTCCTCCTTGCGTTCCACCCGCCCATTACAGCGTTTCGTGGCTCCATAGGGAGCTCCAGCAAAGGCTCCAGTGGCAGGGTCCGCATGCAGTTCCACCTCCATGTCGGCGCACCTCTCACACGTTTCGTGGCCCCATAGGGTGCTCCACCCAAAGCCCCAGTGGCAGGGTCCGCATGCAGTTCCACCCCCATGTCGGCGCACCCCTCACACACTTCGTGGCCCCATAGGGTGCTCCACCCAAGGCCCCAGTGGCAAGGTCCGCATGCAGTTCCACCTCCATTTCGGCGCACTCCTCACACGTTTCGTTGCCCCATAGGGTGCTCCACCCAAGGCCCCAATGGCAGGGTCCGCATGCAGTTCCACATCCATTTCGGCGCACCCCTTCCACATTTCGTGGCCCCATAGGGAGCTCCGCCGAAGGCCCCAGTGGCAGGGTCCGCATGCAGTTCCACCCCCATTTCGGCGCACCCCTCACACACTTCGTGGCCCCATAGGGTGCTCCGCCGAAGGCCCCAGTGGCAGGGCCCGCATGCAGTTCCACCTCCATATCGGCGCACCCCTGTGCTCCGCCCAAGGCACCAGTGGCAGGGTCCGCATGCAGTTCCACCCCATTTCGGCGCACCCCTCACACGTTTCGTGGCCCGATAGGGTGCTCCGCCGAAGGCCCCAGTGGCAGGGTCCGCATGCAGTTCCACCCCCATTTCGGCGCACCCCTGACACGTTTCGTGGCCCTATAGGGTGCTCCGCCCAAGGCCCCAGAGGCAGGGCCCGCATGCAGTTCCACTTCCATTTCGGCACACCCCTCACACGTTTCGTGGCTCCATAGGGTGCTCCGCCGAAGGCCCCAGTGGCAGGGTCCGCATGCAGTTCCACCCCCATTTCGGCGCACCCCTCACACACTTCGTGGCCCCATAGGGTGCTCCGTCGAAGGCCCTCGTGACAGGGTCCGCATGCAGTTCCACCCCCATCTCGGCGCACCCCTCACACGTTTCGTGGCCCCATAGGGTGCTCCGCCGAAGGCCCCAGTGGCAGGGTCCGCATGCAGTTCCACTCCCATGTCGGCGCACCTTCACACGTTTCGTGGCCCCATGTTGTGTTCCGCCGATGACCCCAGTGGCAGGGCCCGCATGCAGTTCCATCCCCATTTCGGCGCACCCCTCACACGTTTCGTGGCCCCATAGGGTGCTCCGCCGAAGGCCCCAGTGGCAAGGTCCGCATGCAGTTCCACCTTCATTTCGGCGCACTCCTCACACGTTTCGTGGCCCCATATGGTGCTCCTCGGAAGGCCCCAGTGGCAGGGTCAGCATGCAGTTCCATCCCCATTTCGGCGCACCCCTCACACGTTTCGTGGCCCCATACGGTGCTCCGCCGTAGGCTCCAGTGGCAGGGTCCACATGCAGGTCCACCTCCATTTCGGCGCACCCCTCACACGTTTCGTTACCCCATAGGGTGCTCCATTCAAGGCCCCCGTGGCAAGTCCGCATGCAGCTCCCCCTCCATGTCGGCGCACCCCTCACACGTTTCGTGGCCCCATGGAGTGTTCCACTTAGGGCCCCAGTGGCAGGTTCCGCATGCAGTTCCCCCTCCATTTCGGCGCACCCCTTCCACGTTTCGCGGCCACCAAAGGCCCTGGTGGCAGCGCCCGCACGTGGTTCCACCCTGAATTTCGGCGCACCCCTCACGCGTTTCGTGGCCTCAGATGGGGCTGCACCGACGGCTCCTATGGCAGCGTCCGCATGGCGTACCCGTGCCAATGTTGGCACACCCGTCACACGCGTCGTGGTCTCAGAGGGAGGTTCACCGAGGACGATACCCACACCTGCGTTACACACAACTGCACATGGTTGGGCCCTTCGCTGGGATAGTATTATATTATATTGTATTATATTATATTATCTTATGTTATATTATATTATACGATGTTATATTCTATTATATTATATTATATTATATTGTATTGTATTGTTTTATATTTTATTACTGTATATTATATTATATTATATTATATTATATTATATTATGTTATATTATATTTTACTATATTAAATTATATTATATTATATCATATTATATCATATTATACCATGTTATATTATATTATGTTATGCTATATTATATTATATTATATGATATTATATTACATTATATTATATTATATCATATTATATTATATTATATCATATTATATTATATCATATTATATTATATTATATCATATTATATTATATTATATTATATGGTATTATACTATATTATATTATATTATATTATATTATATAGTTTTATATTATATTATGTTATATTATATTATGTTATATTGTATTCTATTATATGTATATATACAACGCACTACGATTTACGCACATATAAGATATGCTAAACATATGAGTTCTGCTGCGTGAATGGGCGGTTTTTGCCGCTCGGGGCCCTCGATGGTGTTCTCTTGGAGCCGTCCAGTGGCGTTTTGGGGGCTCCTGGGGCCGTTTTGAAACCATGGGCCGTTTTGGAACAGTCTGGAAGCCATCTGGGACGTCCTGAACTTCTGCGGTGGGTCCCGGCGCTTCGGGGAAGGCTCCAAGGAGGCTCCCAGCACGCCCCGGGGAGGCTCCGGGAGGGGACGGGGCTCCTTCGTGAACCCTGCGTGCCCCTGGTCGTCCGTGGCCCTGGCCCTCCTGGGGCCGGGCTTCCAGCAGAGGTCAGATCCGCGCCCTCGCGGTCGGGATTCCAGAGCGCGATCCCGCGGATATGTTGAGCAGGGACCGACCGTCCTGGCATTCCTATAGGCCTACCACGAAATGTTCTTCGAGCTCAAAAATGTTCCAATAACAAAAACACTGTTCTGAGAACATTAACCCGATGTGTCAAAACAGGACAGCCCTGGACAGAAATGCTCTAAGAGCATGTCGTGGAAGCCACAAACGCTGTTCTTAGAACATTGTTTGGTAGGCCTATGGGTACGCCAGGACGCTTCGCCACTGCTTGGATACGTGGTCACAGAGATACCTTCCGCCAGGGGACACCTGCGAACAAAAAAGACGCCCCGCATCCGCGGGGGCGTGGCCCTCGGGGCCGACCCGCGAGGCCGCGGATGCGGGCACGTTTTCCGCCCACGATCCCCCCAAAAACGGAGCTCTGCCGGCCCCGGGGCGTCCGAAGTGCCCACGCTGCCGCGTGCTACTCTCCCAAGCACCCGACGCCTTGCTCTTTTCAGCGCGGGGGCCCCAGAAATCCCAGCCCTCGCCACCGGGCCGGGCTTGCTCGTCACGGGCCGTTTTCTGCCAGGCCCCAGAGGAGCCCGACGCCAGGCCCCAGAGGTCGAACAGAAACGATGACAACACAGCTGCGCCTTGAGGCTTCCAGGACGTGGGACGTCTGGGCTGGCCCCCGCCGCCTGCTGCACGGCCTGCTGCACGGCCTGCTGCATCGGGGCACTCTGCTGCTCTGGGGCACTCTGCTGCATCGGGGCACTCTGCTGCATCACTGGCGCGCTCTGCTCCAAAGGGGCGGCCGCCATCGCGACCTCCTGTGGGGCCGACGAGGGCGGTGACTGGCCAGGCGCGGATGCCGCATATCCTCCGGCGGCGCCCTCCACGACCGCCAGCTGCGCGGCCTTGAGCTCCGCCACGGTCCTCTCGAGGCTCCAGAGGCTGCTGTGCTGCTCCTTGAGGAGGGCGCCAACCGCCAAGGATGGAGCGCAACGATGCGCAACAACCCAACACGCGGTGGGATAACAGACGGCACCACGACAGTCAATGGGTACCCATCTGACTGAGGCGACGCGCGGCGAGGCGCCGCCACACGTCCCGAAGGACGGCCCTCTGGTCTGGGAGCGAAGCGGGGGCGCCGGAGCGCCGAGAACTCCGTACTTGATGAGCCTCTGGATTCGCCCGGGCGCGTGCCAGAGATCATACACCAGACGTGCCAGTTCCAGGAAATACTCAGAATGTGATAATGGATCTCCCGTTTCGTTTCAAGATTCTTTGCGTACTTCTTACCAGGCAACATGCCTAGGATGCACAGAACCGTGGGATGTCGGGTTGCCGTGCTTCAAAGTCGCACCCTCCGTGCTGTAACTTTGCTCGTGCGCACTGACGGCGATCCTGGCTGGGCCTTATACAGGGCCTGGCATCGGTGTTTATGCCATCCGAACTTGCCAGGAGTGCATGTACAGTCGGGCCGTTGACCTAAGGAACCCTCAATAAGGAACGAGGCCCCCTTTTCCCCTAAGTCAAACTTCGATCCCCCATGGGAAACCTAGGGAAGACCTAAAGCAAGCTGTCAAATAGTCCAGGAACACCGGGCCCCTCCCCAACGAAAAGGGTTCCTTCTTCAGCGCCCCTACTGTACACCGATCCTGGGCGCTAGATCGCTCATCCAGGATCGGTGCAGGTGCATTCCCACACCTCGGGCGACTCAATCTTTTCGAGAGGCCGGCCTTCCTGGACCTCACGACCGGAGCCGTCTGTGGACGGTTCTGGACGTCTGAACGCGGCCAAGAGCCTCCAGTGCGACTTTTTCGAGAAGCTGCCGCAGATGCACGCGATGCGAAATCGCACCCTAAGAAATCCAGGGCACATTTGCCATCAGGCATTCGGCCTCGTTGGGTGCCCCGCGGGTCCCCAGGGCCAGCGAGAGATACGGAGTTAGCCGTGGGGCACCTACAGTTGCGGCCGAACCATGGCTACATGAACGTGGGTCGAGAACACTGGGAGGAGGAGGAGGAGGAGGAGGAGGAGGAGGAGGAGGAGGAGGAGGAGGAGGAGGAGGAGGAGGAGTCCCTTCGCCGAAGGCTCCGGGCCCCATGGATAATAACCAGCAAGAAGAGATTCCACGGTGGAACGCCCACACCACACGCACACACACGCAAAGAGCACAAGAGGTACCCCTCCACGGCCAGGGCTGTTCTCACCCTTCGTGCCGACTGTACTGGCAAGCCGCCTTCGCATTCGATGTGCCGACGGCATTGCCACATCTCCGACTGGCTTGAACTTTTGGAGTCGTCGGCCCCCTGAGCTTTCGACCCCTTCCCTTTCATCCTGCGTTGTTTTCTCACCGCCGGGAAACGACCCAATGACAGCGAACGTTCAGAAAAGCCTCCAGCGAGGCGTTTCCGAGTCGTTCAAATGCTAGTGTGCCCAGATCTTTGACGCCGTGTTTCTCCAACACGGGGTCCCCGGAAGGCCCGATCCTTTCCCCAGTCTCTTCATTCAGAGGCCCCAAGCGGCGGAAAACTTCTGCCTTGATTCTGTCAGTGCGTTGGAGGATGTCGAGGCACGCCCCCGGGAAGGCGAGGGCCGGAAGATGAGGTAGAGGAGGTGAGGAGCCAGAGGTAGAGCAGGAAAGGGCTGAGGGATAGGAGGAAGAAGAGGTAGAGGCAGGAATGAGAAGATTAGAAGGGAGGAGGAAGGTTAAACAATAAAGGAATTACATTTTCCATATGTGCACTGTCATGAAGTTGCTGTGTACATCATTCAAGCATGCGCGCGCTGGAGGATGTCACTGCCGCCAGGGTGATTGGCGTGCCCAGTCCTGGACGCAGCTGGTGAGCCAAGCGACTGTGTCCAACAGGCTCGGCGCCTTGTTGGTGGCGCGCGCCAGGGAGGTGGCGTTAGGGGGGCGGTCTTCGAAGGAGGCGGGGGTGGCAAAAAGGATTCTTGGGAGCTTCCGGCTTCCTGGAAGCCTTTCTTTAAAGAGGCCCAGGAACACACAAACAAATAGACACAAGTCCCAGGATTCCCAATATTTTCAATCTTTTCTAGAGTTTCGTCGTCACCCCCCCGTTCCCACCTTTCCACATATTTTCCTGGGTATCGACGATTATTTGTGTCTGTGTGTTTTTCCCCCGACCTTTGAGTACCTTTCCACCGATCCCCATCCGCACTGGCGTGGCCTTGGCCCCCCTGGAGCCGACTCGCCCCCCCTAGGTGGGGTCTGTGCTGTTCCCGTCGGGCTCGTGTGACCTGTCCGCACGTGGGGGGGCTGGGCGGGCTGGCGGGGCTGAGGTACCATGGCCCAGTGGGGATGGGGATCTTGGGAACCCCCAAACCAGGTGGTGAGATATCAGGTGGTGACCTGGAATCCTCCCAAAATCATCGCTGGGCTTTGGAACACGGGGTCACCGCTGGGCTTTGTGACTCCTGGACCCACCAGCGAAAACCACACGAGTCCCCAAACCGGGTGGTGACACCAAATCGCCCGAGACCCATCCCTGGGTGTGGTCACCACCACGTTGGAAGACTACCCAGGATCGGTCAAACGAAGCGGACTCTGGGAAACCCCTGGGAAGACACCTTCTCAGAAGCCTCCGGGCCCCTCTGCTCCCGAAGGCCCCGCCTCCCTCCTTGGAAGGCCGCCCTCCTCGCGCGCACCCCCTCAGAGTGCGCCGCCGAAGCCTCTATCCGGAACACCGCCGGACCGAGGGGGCTGCCGTGCGGGGGCACCAGAGCCGGCGGCTCGTCGGCCGCGGCGGCCATGGCCGCGAGGAGAGCCCGGAGCTCCGACGCTGGTGACGGCCGGAGAACGGCTTCTTCTCGGTGCGTCGGGGGACGCAGAGACCCCACTCGAGGGTTCCAGCTTTCAGGCTTCTCGTCGGCTCCTGGTGGCTTTCCAGCCTCGGGGTGCCTTCCAGCGGCTGCGTCTCGCCGAGACCGCTCCAGGGGTGCCCACATCACCCCGAACGGCCGCCGGTGGCTTGATTTGTGGCCCGAGAACCAACTGGAGCCCGTACAGTCGACCCGCATTGCAAGGATGCGCGACAAGGATGCAAGGGCCCTGGAAGGCCATCTCGAAGCTTTTCGAGCGGGGTGCGGCCAATGAAAGTGGCCAAGGATGGGCCGAGGAGGAAGAGGAGGAGGAGGAGGAGGAGGAGGAGGAGGAGGAGGAGGATGCAAGGATGCAAGGGTACCCTTGGGCAGGTTGCCCATCCTTAGCACGAGGGTTGACTGTAGCTCCAACGCCCAGGCAGAATGAAGGCGGCTTTGCCTTGCAATCTTCGCTTCTCTTCTGCCCAGGCCTGGC